ATCGTGATTGTGTGTCCGAGCTTTTCGGGGTCTTCCTCCTCCTCCTCCTTCTCGTCCTCTCTGCTTCCTCCTCCATCCTCGTGCTCTACCTCGCCTTCCATCATGTCCGCTGTCTTCCCACGTGATGTGTATTTTCACGTCTCCATCTCTCGAGGGCGGAGGTGCCTGACCCAGTCGACGCTATCCGACTGTGCGATCTGCGGCCCACAACAGATTCACAGCAAGGCCAAGGGCTTGAGGCAACAAAATTCCTTCCTACTAGTGCGCCACCCCTTGAAGCGACTTAGAGGATCCCGAGCCGAGTGGCTCACGTGTTCCCAAACACTTCAACCCTGACCTATATACTTAAGTGTGGCAACCCCCAATACTCTGGCCATCGCGCGGGCCACCTCCGAGTCTGTGCGGGGCGGGGTGGGCGCACACATTAAAGATGATGTTCACTTACGGCATAGGTTCCAGCAGGTGCCACCGTGCAAAGGATAAGGGCGAACTCGAATGGGACCCGAACCTCATCAACTATGATTTCACGGCGAGTCCAGCGATGGCGACCACTGGCAAGGGGGGGATGGCAAAGCGCCTGAGTAGTGAAGCCGCTCATGGCTACTACTTCTTGCTGCTAGACCCAGAAGGGGAGGCGCTCTCCTTCGAAGTGGTCGCAGCCTCGGCGCGCTGGCGGTACAATTTGGCACCCTGCTGAATTGGCTTTGTGTTCCACAAAGCGGGGATAGGAACCTCGATCTTGCACGCGCCGTCCTTCGCAAGACCCAGCGTGGTCCGCTGCACCTCGATCCTGATAGTGCACGGCACCATATTTACATCAGATTTCGAGTCGGTTGCGGGGACGTTCCAACATGGAATCACCAGCGGGTCTTTTTTGAGCGCCCGCTGTTCGGGGTAGAATACACACGGGAGCACATAGGCACTGCAGTGACTGGGAACATTCGGAAAATCTTTCACGACCACGGCGTTCGCAGGCATTTTATTAGTGGGGCCCACGTGGCACCATAGAGACAAGGGGGTTAAAAACAACTGGTTCTTCTCATATTTTTCATGGCGATGACCCTATGGACTTCCACCTTAGGGTCCACAGCGTAAGTGACCTGCAGGTTGACAGACTTGCTCGCAGTCTTGTAGGCGTGCATCAAGGCCAGCCTCAGCTGGGCCTGGGTGGCCATGAGCGACACCTCGGCGTGGTCCTGCGGCCACCACGCTCAACGCGTTCTCACTCCATCCCCCCCTCCTCTCTCTTCGTCCCGTCCCCCCTCCCTCCTCCCTCTCCTGCTCATTCCTCCCTTCCCCTCCTCCCTCCTTCCTCTTTCTCGTCGTCCCTCGCTTCCTCCCTCCCTCCTCCCTCCCCTCGTCCCTCCCCGCCTCCCTCTCCTCCCTCCCTCCTCCCTCCTCCCTCCCTCCTCCCTCCCTCCTCCCTCCCTCCTCCCTCCCTCCTCCCTCCCCTCCTTTCCCCCTGGTGCTGCCTGCTGCTGCTGCTCCTCCTCGCCCTCCTACTCATGATCTTACTTATGTTCATGCTGCGACTTATCGCATCTCCTCTCCTCCCTTTCCTCCGTCCAGTAAGGGAAAAGGGAATGCGGCGGTCCAGCACGCCGTCAAAGCCCACCACCGCGTAGTTGTGGGTCACCACTTTCGGCACCACCTCGGATGGCCCCCCCGCCCCTCCAGGCCGGCTTATCGGTTCGGCTCCCCAGGGCCCCGATCGGATTCCGTAGGGTGAAATGTTAAGGGGGGGTCGTGTGTTTTCGAGTCGTCGTCGTCGTCGTGGCCTGACCTTGTAGAGGTCCACCAAGTCCCCAGTGGAGATCTTGATGGAGCCGTCCGTGCCGTCCTCGATGTCGTCCTCGTCGGCCTCGTCATCGCCGCACTTGCCCCTCTTCTTGGACTTGGACTTCATGACGGGCGGCTTCTTCCCATCCGCCTTCTCGACGTCGCTCTCGCTCAGAAGTCTCACCTGCGAATCTACGATGCACTTGATGATGTACTTGTCGTCCTCACCCTTCTCCAGGGGCGTCTTCAGCGAAACGGTAGCTCCCTTGATGAGGCCAAGCTGCTTGAGGCGGCCGCCGTCGATGCCGTCCGCCAGCTCTGTGATGCCAGTGGAGCCGTCAGGACTGCCCCCCTTCTTCTTCGGCTGGGGCTTCTCGGGAGAAAACGGCGGCTCCAGATCCTTCGTCTTGGGGGCCAGCTCGTAGATTCTGGCCAAGAAGTCGGCGCCGACAGCCTCGAGCGACGTGTAAGCCTGCACGCCAGGAGCGGCTTTCTTTATCAGCATCATGACTCCGTTGACCTCCATGGTCCCGAGCTCCTGGGCGAACGCCGACCGCTTGAGCGAAGGATCGGTCTTCTGAGCATGATCACCGAACCAGGCTGTAGCAGTCTTGATCATGGTGGACAGCTGGATGCACAAGCCGCGCTGCTTAGTCGCCAAGGCGTTGCAATCACTACCGTTGATGAGCCTGCTCATGTTGGTGCCAGGGGTGACGAACTTCGCTGGCGACTTGATCGCAGCTTTTAAGAGTGAGTAGATCGTCTCGGGGCAGCTTATCAGGTCCAAGTTGGCCAGGACTTTGAATGCCGATCCTGGAACGCATCGGCGTGACTGCAGCGTCTTGGACCACTCGTCGAGGTTCCTCAAGAGCGGCGCGTCGCTGCCTCCGCTCCACTTCTCCACGAACGAGCACGTGTCACGCGCGTGGCCACGTACATGGGAATGCTGGCCCTCGACGTGTCTCGCGACCATGTCCCACATGAACGCGTGCTGTACCTGCATGTTGCGAGCGCCGAGCCGATGCATCTGCATCAGCGCCTGGACGTCCGTCGTGACCCGCCGAGTGTTGTGCCCTCGGTTGGCCGCTGCTTGGATGAAGTCGGCCAGGTTAGGGCAATGATGCTCCACTTGCCAGCGGGTGATCGTCCACTCGAGCCCCGACGACACTGCTGCCGCGTAGGGCGGGTTGATAGCGTTCACCTTCGGGTAGGCTAAAAGTTTCTTATCGTTTCTTGTCTTTCGTCCTCTTCCTCCTCCTCCTCCTCCTCGTCCTCTTATCCTCATTCTCCCCCCTCTCCCTCCTCATCATCATCCTATCCCAGCTCATTTTCCCCCTCCTCCCCCTCTTCCCCCTCCATATCCTTCTTCCCGCCCTCGCCCATCCTCCCAGCAGCTCCTCAGTTTCTTTATCATCATCTTCCTCCCCCCCCGCCTGCCCATCAATCCCCCTCCTCGGTGCCTCCTCATCGTGCCCCCCAAAACTCTGCCTACGCCCCTTGCTATGCTATGCTATGTTGTTGTCTTTTTGTATGTTGATGTTGTTATTTATACCGTCAGGTGTGCTATGTATTACATGTAGCGCGTGCGTTCTTAATGTTTGAGGGGGGGGGGGGGGTGTTTAGTTGGCCCCTCCAGCGACCTTCTCGATAGCAAGCTTCCCGTTCGTGGCAGCGGCCTCGACGGTGGTGCTGCACTTGTAGTCGATGGCGTTGAGGCCCCCATTCGTGTGGGAGCAAGACACAGAAACAAAGGACATGTCCTCCTTAAGGAGCGGCCTCAGCATGCCGTTGGAACTCTTGGCCAGGTGATCGTTGAACAACCACTGCGTGTCGTCTTTGGGGTTCACCTCGAACGCGATGGCGTTCTTAGTTTCCGAAAGCACAAAGCCGTCCAACAGAATCTGCGCCAACAAGTCGTGGACGTCGCACGGGTCGAGGCCGATCCCGTACCTGTTCCGCATGTGGCAGCCCATCTTCTTGGGGAAGACAAAGCTGACGTAGGCCAAGTCCTTCTCGATGAGAAGCTTCAAAATGGCAGCGAGTTTCGTCTTCGTCTGCGCATCGTCGGCACTCGATGGGTTGTCATTTGTCAGTTCGTTGATGTATGGCGCCACCTCCTGCAATGCCGCCTCCATGTCGAGACTGGCTGAAGGTGAAAGAGACCGAGGACCTGGCAAGGATCGTGACTGCCTCAAGGAGTCTGGGCCACAACGGCTATGTCGAGCCCCCCACCCCCAAAACGCGATGGGTATATCCCAACATAAGACACGGACAACGAAATTCTGCCGACCTGTGTCAGGCTCATGCGTGGGAGAAATGGAGACATCACGACCTGAAGCCTACCAACACCAGAACTGTTTTCAATGTTATGTTGCATAAATCTGGTGTTCATGTTGTCCAAATCTGGCACCGTTGGCGCCGAAATCTGAAGTTGTGGTCCCAGAAATTTGTTGTTGTTGTCACCGAATTATGATCATTCGAAGCTGTTTTTTCTATGTCTATCTTTGGTTAGGGAGGTTAGCTAAGTGAGGTTAGCACTTTGCTAAGTGAGATAGCTAAGCTGCCAAACGCAGCCCTATCCACCATAGTGTGGATGTGCTATCTACTTACTAAGCACGTCTAACTTGCCTTGTGGAAGAAGCCAAGATAGCTTAAGTCACTCAAGTACTTGGCCGAATGCCCAACAAGGATAGGGAGGATTCAGGGCGGGATGACTACGTTATATCTTAAGATAGTTTGGTTATATGTTAGGTTATAGGTGCTTCTATCCTATGCAACTGCTTAGCACGACCCTCGGTCACCCCAGCATCCTGAGCTAGCTTGCGTAATTTTGGAGGCCATCTTGCATTATCTAGGGCCCTCTTGGAACCATTCTGGGCTAATTTGGGCGCCTTGACTGCTTCCCGCCCTATCCGTTCAGCCCCAGGGATGGATGGTGGGATTTGCGGGGCGCTCTTGTTGCCATTCCCTTTTCAAAGGCATAGCATGCGCGTATTATGTAAGAGAATTCGGAAATATGCGAACTTACCAGGGTATGCAGAACTGTGTGAGGCGTGGTGCTCCCTCGGTACCAGTCTGGGAGGCATCGGCGCACTCCGACTTTGTTGGAATCTTCCGACGCTTGATTCGAGTCTCCGAAGTTATGTTCTGGTTTGGTCCATCGTCCATCCTTCGTCCCCTTCCTCCTCCTCCTCAGCCTGTTCCTCGCCCCCTGATGCCACAGGGGCCAAGGGGCGGCCCCTGCGGCCCAGCCATGCGGAACTCGCTGGACCTGCCCGACATACAGGCCAAGAGCAGGGAGAGAGAGCACGGGAGACGAGAGGGGGTAGGGAGGAGGGCGAGCGCGAACTGCGGATGGCTGGTTGCGCTCTTCCGGCGTCGTCCGCGGCGCCGGCCCTGGAGCAGCGAGGAGCAGGAACTGCCGAGGGAGGCGCGGAACACGAGCGGGGGGGAAACCCCCGTCAGCCAGGTGCTGGAAGTTGCCATTCCCTCTCGTTCGGCGCCAGCTTCCGAATGAGGCCCAGATCGCGTAGCTCTGATTTTTCCACTTCTGGTCCCAGGTCCTCGGCTAGAATCTTGGGGCGGCTGAGGCACACGAGACCTGCCTGCCATCAGGACTCAGTGGGCACAGAGAGGCAGGAGGCGAGACAGGGGCGCTGGGACAGAAGGATGGCGATGGATGATGATGACGAGGATGAGGATGAGGATGATGCTGATGCTGATGCTGCTGCTGATGATGCTGATGATGATGAAGATGATGATGATGGTGATGATGGTGATGATGATGCAGATGCAGATGATGATGATGATGATGATGATGATGATGATGATGATGATGATGATGATGATGATGATGATGATGATGATGATGATGATGATGATGATGATGATGATGATGATGATGATGATGAGGAGGAGGAGGAGGAGGAGGAGGAGGAGGAGGAGGAGGAGGAGGAGGAGGAGGAGGAGGATGAGGAGGAGGAGGAGGAGGAGGACCTGTGGGGAGGGGCCGCAGCAGCACCAGCAGCGGCAGGCCTGCAGTTTCGGCCAGCAGCACCGAGGTCGCTGTGTTCTGTTCTGAGAGGCCCCGTAGTGTCGGCCGAGCGACCGACAGGGGAGCGCATGGGGGCGCGGCAGCAGCAGCAGCGGGGGCGGCGGGGGCAGCGAGGAGTGCCGCGGCGGGACGGAGGGCCCGCGCGAGGGCGAAAGAGCGGCGGGAGTCGGGCTCTGCCAAGGGGTGTGCCTGGCCCAGGGATTCCCCAGCCCGTTTTGCGACGCGCCAGGCCCCCCACCTTTCAGGGAGGCCTCGTGAGGCGGCCTCCGATCGAATCCTGGGTGCCTCCCTGGGCCAAGGACACCCTTCTTCGGAGCGCCCGAGGGAGGAGGTGACGATCCGGGTCCAGTCGCAGGCGCGGCCGCGGTCCTTCGACGGCCACAGCTCCCAGATCGGGCTGGAGTCTCGGGCGGGAAGGGGGTGGTGCCAGAGCCAGCCTCCCTCCTTCCTTTCCTTCTGCACTGACGCATGCACGAGCTGTGCGCGCCCATTATTTGATCCTTGCCTCCTCCTCCTCCTCCTCCTCCTCCTTTTTTGACGTTGCGTAGGCAAACATGAGGCGGGGCTTGTTGCGTCTGTTTACCTCCTCCTCCTCGTCCTCCTCTCCGTCTTGCTCATCCTGCTCCGTCCGTTTCATGACAGTGGCTATGTCTATAGGCCCTGGTGACGTTGGCTTGCGCCTGGCTCCCCGTTCCCCACCAAACCACCGTTGCGCCCGAATCGGCGTTGCCCCCTGGTCTTGACGCCGACGGCCCTCTCCTGCCCTCTTCCTGCGCACCTATAGCTCGTCGTCGTCCCCTCTCCCCGTTCCCCCCCCGGGCCGCCATGCCGTGTGCCCTCTCCTGCCCTCTTCGTGCGCACCTACAGCTTGCCGCCACCCCCTCTCCCTCTTGGAGGGGGAGGAGGAGGAGGAGGAGGAGGAGGAGGAGGAGGAGGAGGAGGAGGAGGAGGAGGAGGATGAGGAGGGGGAGGAGGAGGAGGAGGAGGAGGGGCGGCCGAGCTCCGCGATGCCGTGCCCTGCCGCCGGCGCAGCTCCTCGCACCGGCGATGCCGTGCCGCTCCTGCGGCCCCCCTGGCAGCCCTCGGCTGCGCCCGCGGCCCGTGGCGCTGGGCGGCCCCGCCTGGCCCCGCGGCCGCCGGTCCTCGAGGATCTCTGCGCGAGCCGGCGGTCCGCTGCTCGCCACGCTCACTCTCTGTTCCGTGCCCTGTTGCCTGCTGGGCCGCGTTCTCGTGAGCTTGGACTCGTTGCGTCCGCCTTGGGTTCGGCCCCCGTTGGGTCTTTGGCCCGGGTCGTCATCTTTTTCGACCGTGTGTGTGTGTGTGTGTGTGTGTGTGTGTTGTGGAGGACTCACCGCCCTGGGCTGTTGGTCTTCGCTCGTCGATCATCATGTGACGGCGTGTGTGCTCGCTCCCGTGGTTCTGAGTGCTGACCTTGCTTGCCAGGTTCCCTTTCGCATGACTTGCGTGCGCAGTCTCCGGGAGTTGAGGGCTCGTGGCATCTCTTGTTTGTGACGCGCCGCATCGTAATTTCATGCTTTGGGCGTGCTCCGCCACCCGCGGCTTTCTTTCCCCCCCCCTCCCCTGGGCCCCCGCTGAAATGATCGCCCATAGGCCCCTCGAGGGTCAGCGGGTCCTGTCTGGTTTTCCGAGTGTGCAGGACCCTCCTGGGGGAGTCCAGGCGTCAAGCAGCCGCCAGTCGGCCCGAGGTGGAGGTGCGTTGCCGACACTGTCGTATGTAGCGAGTCATTGTCTTTTCTTCTTGCCCCTGCGCGCTTCAGCCTTCAGTGCCGAGCAAACTACATCAGCAATCTACTGGCCACGGCGTTTCGAGAGCGTCTTCTCATCAGCGTCATCAAATCATCGTTGTTCTTTCCTGTTTGGCTTCTGGTTCGCGTTCGTTCCGAAGTTTTGGTAACGACGCAGTGCGCTCAAGGATGCAGTGGATACTCTCGTTGGCGTTGGGGACTTGATGTCGATGAATTCCTCCGTGGTGATGGCGATTGTATTTTTCCCGTTCCGAAGTTTATATTTGTCATCGCATTCTTTTTACCCTTTTCGCAGTCCAGGGACAGTTTTTCGTAGAATTCGGCTCCATCTCTGGGGCCCACGAATCGCCAACTCATGGAATGTGTTCGATTCCTGCCCAAGCATCGGGGGCGCACTTCCCTTTTGCCTTCGTCGCCGGATCGGGCGCTCTTGTTCCGCTGCCCCGCGCGCCGCTCGGCGAGCCACGTTGGGGTAGGGGCGGTGCAGGAAGTCACCCTGACGAGGGTCCGCCGGAAGCTGACCGCGGCGGGCATCCGCCAGGGCAAGTCTTGGGAGGAGCGGCTCACCGCCAAGATGGGGCGCCGCCGGGCGGGGCCTGAGCCCCCGTCTTACCACCCGTCCGCTGGTTGCCACCCGACTTTCCATCTCTTCGGAGAGAGCGAGTCGGGTCGGACGAAATGGGGGGGAAAAGGGAAGGGGGGGGGGACGAAGTCTGCTGCGTGCGGCTTGTTTCGGCCCCGCCGCTGGGCGCCTCTCCCTGAGACACTGGCGCCTCCCAGCGCCGGGGGTGGGTGCCAGGGAGATCAGCTGCGCGAGCTGATTCGCCCCCCCCTGTACCAAACTCCCCTTTTCGTCCTACCCGAGCGAGGGAATGGGAAGAAGGGACACACAGGCTGTCCGCCGTTCGGCCAGGTCGGTTGCGTTGCGGTCGGTCGCGTTTCGTCGATCCGATTCGGTCAGCTGCGGCGTCGTTGTGCTGTCGATGGATTCGGTTTCGGTTTCGCTGTCGGATTGGTCGGTTTCCGTTTGTGCTGTCGCAGTAGCCAGTCTTGGGTCAGGAGGAGCTAGGCAGAGATATCGCTCGGACAACTCGGCAACTCCTCGCAGGGTGCAGCCCAAAGTGACAGCTCGATAGGCTGCCTTGCGTATCCCGTTAATGGAAAACGGTGGTGCGCCACATTGCTCGGCGTCCCGCCGTTTCTGCAAATGCACGCAGCCGCCAATAGCATACGCAAGAGCTTGCACGCTTGATTATCTCATAGTCTGTTCTTGGTACATTCCTTGCGTCTGCTCCCCTATCGCTGGAGGTGTACGTTTTGAGGGAGTTTCTGCTATGAGCTCAGGCCTTCCTGATCCCCAGCGCGCGAGGAAATACTGCCCCCCCCATTCCGCCCTTGGCACCACTTACAGTGAGGACGGACCAACTCCAGGGGAAGTGCCGCTGGATCCTAAGCTACAGTTTTGCGTAGGAGATTTAGGGACCGTTTTTTCATTCATTGTTTTTGCCTATCGGCGCGGGCCCTCGCCCTCGCCCCCCCCCCATGGAGTAGATCTTTGCTGTTTTTTGCGCCTGTTTCGAGCAGGTGGAGCCTCCCCCAGAGGCAGCACTCTTGCAAACAGTCGCACTGAGCAGAGGTTTGGAGCCAGACCCCCCCCCTCCCCACCTTCCTCCCAATGTCGAAACGCCGAATAAAACAAGTCACCGATGTATGATTGACATCCAGAGGGCCCCAACGCGGAGGGACAACATCAGTCCGCAACCCTAAGATGCATCGGTCTTCTTCGATACAAGAAGCGCCCCCCCTTGAACGACCAGCACCCTATCCGTGGGCCGGCCGTGCAGGCGAGCCCCGTTTTGAAAGGAGCTGTCTCGCATTCTCCTGGCGGAGGGTTTCTCCGAAGGACTTAGGCGACCCCTCCTCCTCCTCCTCCTCCTCCTCCTCCTCCTCCTCCCTCCCTCCCTCCCTCCCTCCCTCCCTCCCTCCCTCCCTCCCTCCCTCCCTCCCTCTCTCCTTCCCTGCTCCTCCTCCTCCTCCTCCTGCTCCTTCTCCTCCTCCTCCTCCTCCATTTCCTCCTCGGGTCGCCTACGGTCCCGGGGGAAACCGCCCACTTCCTGGCGGTGATTAGTGACTGCGAAAAGGTATCATCGTGCAGTTCTACGAGGTGTCCAGCGAGATTCCTGCTTTGAAACAAGGGACGGTCCCATCTGCGTAATTGTTGAAATAATTTCGAGATCGGGCCATGGACTTTGAGGAAGGTTGACGCTGGAACCCCACTTTGAGAAGGAACTGCCCTCCACCCGTACAGCTGTAGGTTTGATTTTTCTAACACACGAGGTGGACGCTTCACGTTGTAAAGACACGGCCCTCCATCTGTGTAACTGTTACAAACTTTGGAGACCAATGTGCGGGGGGCGAAGGCGAGAACTCAAGTTAAACAAAGGTGGCGCCCTCCAATCTTAAACTGGATGCCAAGCTTTTAGGACGAGTGAGCGCGGCGTTCAGCCGATAACCATATCGTGAAAACGACCTCCTCCATCCGTGCATCCGTTGTACATGTGCAGACGAGTGTGCGCGGCGCCAACGCCAGAGCTTCATTCTGAGCAGGGCCCCCTCCATCCTTGTAGTTGCTGCAAATTCCGAGCTCCCGGATCCCAAAGCGTGGAGAAGCGCCCGGTCGCCCGCCCTACTGGCCTTCGGCCCATCCCGACACCGCGCTTGGGTTGTGGGTCTTAGGCTTCTGGATGTTCGTTGGGATCTCATCGAGGCCTCTGGGCGGCTGTTTTTGGGCCTCTTTCGAGCCCCTTGTGGGCCCTCTTGGGGCCTCGTGGGGGCCTCTTGGGGGCCTCTTGGGGTCTCTTGGGGGACTCTTTCGGCCTTGGTGTCCCTTGGGGCTGAAGGCTTGGATGTTCGGTTCGCGTTCCCCTTTGGGCCCCTGGACTTCTTGGGGCTCTCTTGGGCCGTCTTGGTGCCTCTTGTGCCGGCTTAGGGCCCCCTCGGGTTGTTTTCGGGCACTATTGGTGGCCTCTGGGGCCGTCTTGGAGCGGTATCGGGGACCTCTTAGGACGTTCTCGAGCGTCGGAAGCTCGAAAAGTAAAGAACCCCCAAGAAATCAAACACCGACTGAACAACAATGATTTTAGCATGTCGGTGCTCTCCTGGGAAGGCTTTTGGAGACCCCTTGCGATTGTTCGGCGATTGGGGACCCTCTAACACCGTCTTGGGGGCCACTTGGGGCCCTCATGGCCCGTCTTGGGGCCTCTTTTGGGCCCGAGAGAGTCACGCGACAGGACGCAGCAAGCCCCATGAGACACGCGGTACGTCTCGAGGGATTCGAGAGCTTGGGGTCCAGACTCCCAGGCCCTTTCAAAAACCATTCGGATTGAGGACTGAGCAAGGGGCCTGGGGACACTCCACTTCGCGCCACAGGTGGCAAGGTGACGGATCTTTAACGAAAACAGATTGGGGAGGAGGAAGAGGAGGAGGAGGAGGAGGAGAAGGAGGAGGAGAAGGAGGAGGAGGAGAAGGAGGAGGAGGAGAAGGAGGAGGAGGAGGAGGAGGAGGAGGAGGAGGAGGAGGAGGAGGGGACAGGGCGTAATGTTTCTGATGTCCACGAGCACCAGCCCTGGGGCCCTGGGGCCTCCCTCCCCCGCCCGAGGCCCCCCGGACTACAGCCAGGGCCCCCTCCCCGCCTGGAGCTTCAAGGGGGCCTAAGAAGCTCGACGATGAATGCAATGCGGGCCGAAGAGACCGCCAGATATCTGAACTTTGATCAACAAAGAAACAGCGTGCGGTCGCATTTTTTGTCGGGCATGCACTTCTCGACAGCATGTGGCTCACAGCAGTCTTCGGAGGAGCCAGACTGAGCCCCAAGGGGCCTCAAGAGGGCCCCGATGTCCCAAGGCGGCTCAGGACTGCCCCTGGATAACCCCGACCAAAATGGCAGAAACGCGGTTCCGGATGATCCCGCTGCGGCCCAAGAGGGCGCCAAGACGGCGCGAGACGGTTCTGAGCGCTGCAAAGTTACCCAAGAAGGTTTGAAATCTGTATGTGTGTGTGTGTGTGTGTGTGTGTGTGTGTTTGTATGAATGTAATGTCGGCGTGTGTACATCCGCTGGAGGAGCTCTTTAACAAGTGTGACAAGAACACGGACGGGAGCTTGGATTGGCGGGAGCTGAAGTCGATGGTCAGGGACACCATGAAGGCTGGCGAGATCCGAGGGGCTAGTACACGTGCCCTGTCAATAGCACAAGTTGGAGGGCTCGTGGATGAATGGATTATCAGTCGAAGCGTTTGCTGGGCGGAAGCCCATCGATCGCGTCCCCTGATGCAGTTCTATTTATCCTTGAGTCTCCGAGCGGCACAGAAGAGGGCCACGTGTCTCCTTATGGTCAAGGTATCTTTTAACAGTCAGTCAAAATTTGTAACAGTGAATTGACACTACGCTGTTGACACTACGTAAGGCCGGGTGACGTAACACTACGCTGTTGACACTACGTTGTTGGTATTACGAGGAGAGGTTGTACGCTGTTGACACTACGCTATCGACACTACGCTGTTGACTTAATTCACCGTTAAGACGTATTCTCTAGGTCGTAAACTTGCTTTTGCCCCCTGTCCATGGTGGTGTGCATCTATTTTCAGTATCTCTCCCGCTCTTGCTCTCTCGGCGGCGCGCCCGGGGGGAAAGTGAGAAGGGGCGGGCCTCCCTAGACGGCTCAGAAGGCCCCCGGCCTTCTGAGAAGTTTTCCGAGCCTCCCCCCAAGACACAACAAAGACCTCTCAGAAGGCGCGAGGGCTTCTGAGAGAAGTCCCGTCGCCTTCTGAAAAGGCCTTCTCCTTCTCGCTTCCCCGCCTCGCTCGCCGCCGACTTATGATGATGATGCTGATGATGATGATGATGTTGATGATGATGCTGCTGATGATGATGACGATGATGATGATGATGATGATGATGATGAGGAAGAGGAAGAGGAAGAGGAGGAGGAGGAGGAGGAGGAGGAGGAGGAGGAGGAGGAGGAGGAGGAGGAGGAGGAGGAGGAGGAGGAGGAGGAGGAGGAGGAGGAGGAGGAGGAGGAGGAGGAGGAGGAGGAGGAGGAGGAGGAGGAGGAGGGGAGGAGGAGGAGGAGGAGGAGGAGGAGGAGGAGGAGGAGGAGGAGGAGGAGGAGAGGAGGAGGAGGAGGAGGAGGAGGAGAGGAGGAGGAGGAGGAGGAGGAGGAGGAGGGAGGAGGAGGAGGAGGAGGAGGAGGAGGAGGAGGAGGAGGAGGAGGAGGAGGAGGAGGAGGAGGAGGAGGAGGAGGAGGAGGAGGAGGAGGAGGAGCTCTCTCTCTCTCTCTCTCCCTCTCTCTCTCTCCATCTCCCCCCCTCGCCTGTGTGCGTGTGGGCGCGGGGGCTTCTCGTCGCTCTGCTGCTGCAGCTGGCGCCTCTGCCGCCTCCCGCTCAAACCCTGCGTGTGCCGCTCGGCCCGCCCGCTGGCGCGCTCCGCGGGCCCGTGCCCGGAGCTGGCCTCGCGGGAGGAAAGCATACTTATCGGTCGTTGAAAGTAGGCGTTTTTGGAGGAGCAGGAGGAGGACCTCCTCCTCATCACTCTTCCTCCCCCACCCCCCCCCTCCTCCTCATCATTCTTCCTCCCCCTCCTCCTCCTCCTCCTCCTCCTCCTCCTCCTCCTCCTCCTCCCCCTTCCCCTCCTTCGCCTCCTCCTCCTCCCTCTCCTCCTTCTCCCTCGTCCTACATGTGGCAGTGGTGGTGGTGGAAAAGTTGCCCATCACCCAGGACTCGGAGCCGAGGAGAGGGGCGACTAATAGCACAAGGGGGTGGGCCATACGTGGGGGGGCAGGGGTGGCCCATTGCATCGGTGAGGCTCCCCAGTGGATACGTGTGCCCATCAGTCGTTGAAAGTAGGGATTTTTGGATCCCTAGATTCCAATCTACTTTAGGCGCCTTCCTGCTTCAATGATCGGGTGGCTTCACGTTTTCTGTCCTGATTGGGTGGCGGGCGGACACCCGATCTGCTCTCAGCGCCTTCATACTTCATGTTTCTACCTACTTCTTCCGACCGATGGGCATCCACATCCACGGCCTCGCGGGCTGGGTCCCTAGGCCGCGATCCCCGGGATGCGGGGAGTTTTTTTCGTGGATATGCCCCGCGCGGAACGCATCCCTGCGACCGCGCATCCACGGGATCGCGCCCTTGGGACCCAGGCCGTGAGATTGTGGATAGTTATGGGTATGCTCGCCGCTCACGACGTCCCTCGCCGCGCTGGAGACACCAGCGGTGAGCGACGTCGCCCAGACGCTGGGGCTGTCGGGGCCTGGCGGCCTTTGGGGCTCGAGATCGGCGGCGAGCGAGGGGGGGAAGGGAGAAGGAGAAGGAGAAGGCCTTCTCAGCAGGCGGCGGGGCGGGGATATCTCGGGACCCTGGCGGCCTGCGGGGCTCGAGCTCGGCGGGTATAGATCCGTGCTGGGGAGGGCCGGCCAGGGCGCCAGACCTTGGCAGGCTCCCGCAGATCGGCCACGCGCAGAGGGGGGGTGGAGGGGGGAGCGGGGAAGGCTTCTCAGAAGCACCCCTGCTTCTCAGAAGGCGCGTGCCCTATCTCTCTGTCTCTGTCTCTGTCTCTGCCTCTGTCTCTGTCTCTGTCTCTGTCTCTGTCTCTCTCTCTGTCTTTACATGTAGATCTCTATATGCATATGTCTGTGTATATGTACATGTGTTTATATCTATATGTGTGAGGCCCGCGCCTTCTAAGAAGCGGCCTCCTTCTAAGAAGCCTTCCCCCCTCCCCCTAGCCCCCCTCTGCGCGCCGCCAAGCAGAGCCAGGGTTGCATCGGCCCGGGCTTGGGTGCAGAGTCCTGCAGGGTCCTGCAGGATCCTTCCAGGATCTTGCAGAGCCCGACTGGCCCGGGTCAGCATTGACCCGGGTCAGTAGATCCCCGACGACGTCGCCTAAGAGGCCGGGGCGATCAGGACCTGGCGGCCTAACCTGCCGTGGCATGACAGCGGCGTTCGACACGCAGCCAGAGCTTTGGCACCCCTCCCGGCGTCCAGCATCCCCGCTGCGACCGCTGGGGGGACGCCAGCGCTGCCGCGCCCTGGCGCCTCGCAACAATGGGCGCCTCGGCGCTGGGCCAAACCTGGCGGCGCCTCTGGCGCTGATCCTGGCGTGCCAAGCGTGCCATGGAAGGGTGCGTCGACCCGAGAACTCAGCGCAGACCTCCGAAAGCTCACGTTGTTCTCTTTTTGCTGTTCTTCCGGTGAAGGCAGCTGGATCGAACCTCCGATGCGTGCTGTGCTCCTCCACTCCCTTTCTGCAGCGCCCTCGTCTCTGCGCAGAGGCGAGGGCGCTGCAGGGAGTGGAGATCGACGCGCTCTTCGCGGTCCGCGTACGTACCAGGGCTCGAAGTGTCGGAAGCGGTAAAGAGGGGGGTGATGACTAAGTGGTGGTGTGGATATCATGGCGTGGGCCATGATATTTTCACAGTTTTCATGGCGCCTCTTCTTATTTCGTTACGTCCCTGGCCCCCCCCGTCGGCCGCGCACATGCCGCCGGCCATGATTTGCGCTCCCCCCTCTTGGACGCCCCCCTCTTGGCCGCCCCCGACAGTGCGGGTCTGGTGTCGACATGGCCTTTGGTCTGGATTTCCGGGGTTCGGTGTGGTCCGGCGCTCCGCGGGGCCGCCCGCCCGTGAGGCGAGCGGCGAACCCAGGCTGTCGTTAAGTCGTGCATGTTTTTCTGCATGAGGAATATTCAAAAAAAGTCAATACATAATCTTTGGGCGATTTTTCCTACTATCTTTGATCATTTTTGAATGTTTTTCGCCCCGAATCCGTTTGTACGAGGACATGATCGACCTAAGGCTGCCTATCTCCCGATGCGTTCCGTGCTCTGTCGACTTTCCCTCCTGGAGCGCCTCTCGGCCTGCAGTGCCGCCTGCCCCGGGGTAGGCGGGATGCTCTGGAACCCCAGGGGTCGATCAGGGGCAGCGTCGGGGTGGGATAGGCTCAAGTCGGGCATGTCCCTCTACAGAAGGAATCTTAAACAATAGTCAAGAAATAGGCTGGGGCGAGTTTTCGCATATGTTTTGATCATTTTTCAATTTTTTGGATTATTTTCTAGTGTTCATCCAAACCCGCCTGTAGGAGGACATGCCCGACCTAAGGATAGGCTCAGGGGGGGATGCACCGACCTCCGATCGCCCATTGATCGCGCGAAGGTGGCCAGAGAGCCCGGCCCGACCAGGAACGCGCGGCTTCCTTCGCCGTCTAGGGCCCATCGCCGACCCATCGGCGGCGTACCGCCGATTCCAGCTGGGTGTTCCCCCCCGGAGCCTGGGGGCCTCGGAGGGACCTCTTTGCTCGAGGAGGCCGCCTTGCGGCACTCTCTGGGCGGTCCAGGGCCCCTCGGTGCTCGCTCCAGGGCATGCCTGGAGGCCAACGGAGCTGGCCTCGGGGGCCTCTTGGGCCGTCTGGGGGCCCTCTGGGCCCGTCTTGCGGGCCTTTCGGGAGCCTCTCGGGCCGTCTCGGGGCGATCTTCGGGGCACGTGGGGCCGTCTTGGGGAGGCCCCCGCAACCCCCGTCGCTGCCCCTCGCCGCTGCAGCGCCTCCGCCCCTGCAGGGCCGCCCGGCGGGGCGAGTGGGGGGCAGTGGCGCACGCGGGGCCCGGAGGGCACCGTTCGATGCAGCCGTGCTCCTCGGCCTCGCCCAGATAGGGTTGGAGCAGGTGGGGTCCGAGGATCGCTCCGCATCGCCGACGACCAGGGGAGGAACACACGGACCACCACCACCGAGGGACCCGTCGGTGAGGGGTCCGGCCCGCGGTGGCACGCCTGAGCGTCGCTCTCTCGGTGGTGGTGGTGGTGGTTCGCGTGTATCCTCCGAGATGAATCGACGATGCGGCTCGATGCGGAGCCCGAATTTCTCCACGCCGATGGCGCCGATGCATCGCCGACGTCGCCGACGCATCACCAATACATCAGTGGTGCGTCTGCGATGCATCGCCGATGTGGCACGATCCTCAGACCTTGTCTACTCCGACCTCCTCTGGGAGGCCTCCAACGTGCCTTCCTCGCCAAGCCGGGAGGGCGCATGCACCGATCCTGGGCCCAGGATATGGGCCCAGCCAGGATCGGTGCAGTCATCTGGGAGGCCTCTGGCGTGCCTTCCTCGCCAAGCCCGGAGGGCGTGTGCACCGATCCAGCATTTTGCTTCTTCCGGTACTTCGCCGCTGGGTTCCTGTAATTACAAGGCGTTCTTTCGCAAGCACGTCGTCTTCGGCACCGCCTGATTCTGGGGCTTTGCCCTCTCTTGGCCTTGACGTGAGGCCCCTCCTTCTGCCTTCCCCCCTCTGTTAATTAAAGCTGTGCGCGGCCCGCTTAGCTTCGACCGGAAGAGGTGCGCTCTCGACCCGCGGATCAAAAAGGTGCACCGAGCCCGGGCCCAGGACGGGCCCAGCCAGGATCGGTGCAGGCGTGCAGGTGGTGTCCTCCGAGTTGACGGCAGGCGCCGGGCTGGGGCCTCGTGCCGAGAGGGTGCGTTCCATGTCTGACGGACAGGTGATTCGATTTTCGTCTCCGTCGTCGTCGACGATCGGCGCAATCGAGGGTCGAAGGTCGATGCTTCGAGTTTTTCATGGCGGTTTTCTTCGTCGTCGTCTTCGTCGACGATCGACGTAATCGAGGGTCGAAGGCTGACGTTTCGAGCTTTTCGGGGCGGTTTTGGCCGCTCTGGTGGGGTCTGGGGTGGTCTGTGGGGCGGGGGGAATTGCACTATTTTTTGGGGTTGGGGGGGCGTATTGCGCAGCGCCTGTCGTTTTGAGATCGTTGAGGTGAGGTATAAATTCACGAACTCGTCAGACCTCTTGGGAGCTGGGTCCTTCGAAGTGCACGGCCGCGGACCACGGTCGCAGGCACAGCTGACTTTCTGGGTCGCCGACTGCGTGGCCTGGTCAGCCTCACTACAAGGTCGGCTTGCCCAGATTGCGCAGTCGGCTTTCACACGGTCTGCGGTCGATAGGGGGATCAGTGCAATTAAGTATTCAGGTTGCGCGATTGAGGTCTTCGATTGGCCGTGTGATGAGCCCAGCAGCGGATGGCGAGCGGGAGATGTCGGGCGAGGAACGCCGGGGAGGAAACGGAGGCGCAGGGAGGACGTCCAGGAAGGAGCAGGGGGCGGAGGCCCTCCGAGTTCCCCCTTGCTTGCGCTTATCGTCGTCCATGCCTGTTCTGCTGGATCAGCTCTCTGTGCTCAGATTCCAAATGCGGCCGTGTGCGATAACGAGCTGCTCATGTTGTACCAGGACTTCACCTGGCAGCTCTCTTTGGGATGCTGAGGCTGCTGCACGGCCCTTTCCTCTGCGCTGGATTCGCAGAAGCATTTTGGTCAGAGGCGGAGCTATTTGAAGATCTTCTTGGGGCCTTCTGGGGCCTTCCCGTGGGCTCCCAGAGCTTGGTTCGGGTCGCTTTGTTTGGGTCGTCTTGGGATCCTTTTGCACCCCGGCGTGCCGTTCGCGCGGCCGTCTTGAACTATCTCAGGGCCATGCTGGTCTACCTTCGCTACGACAGGTTTCTGCCGAGAAGGAGAAGGAGTAGGAGGAGGAGGAGGAGGAGGAGGAGGAGGAGGAGGAGGAGGAGCTACCTTCGCTACGACAGGTTTCTGCCGTCTCGACGCGGCGGCGACGCCGGCGCACGTTCAAGGTTCAACACCCTCGGGCTCCGGGACCCACAGAGAACAACTCACGGCGCAAAATCCACAGGAAGCTCGGATCGACAGCCTCTGTGGACTTCCGCAGAAGCAGGTCCTTGAAGTTTGAACGGTCTACGCGGAGCCAGATGCCACAGCCGACGTTGTCACGGCAGGGACCTGCCGTACATGCTACAGATTTCCGCGTATTCATCATGCCACATCCACGCTCGTACAGCACTCGCCCATGGTTCGGACGCTCTTCAGTTCAGAGGCCCCAGGAGCGAGCATCGGAGGATTTCGCCCTGTCTTGGAGGGTTCTGCTTCGAAAGCATTACTTTCGCGCTTGCTCCCCACATGGGGAACATGGTTCCATCCTTTTGTACGCCGCACTATACAGAAGTTGGCATTTACCAAGGGGGCTTCTTGACGGATCTCCTGCAGCGCGAGCTGGAATGTTTTTGTCTTCGTGTCCGCTTCTCCTCAGCTGGACCTCTTGTTGAGAGTCTGAGCCTTCGTCGGGTGCTGAGGTGACACATCCCGAGCTTGCGCTCCGTGCAGACCTGACAGCCCCACTGTACGAACGACAGTGCTGAGATTCGCGCCAGCCCGATTCAGAGGCATGAGCCGATACGCTCACGCGCCTTGTCGAGCCAGGCGCGAGGGCAGCACGTTCCAGGAGGTCTTGGCGCGCATCCCGAAGTCGATGCCGAGGCTTCGGACGCGAGGCGAGCTTCTGGGCGGCCCAAGCGCGACCGTCCCCGTGTTCGGCCCGAGTCCCGTCCGAACACATGCCATCCTGTCGGCCCTCTGGATTCGACGATTTTCGGTTGGCGGCGAGGTATGCCCGCCCTTTTTACATTGATTGCGCTCATGTCTCAATATGCAGGGTTCTGGTCCCAAAGAGGATTGGCCATGTGTTTCAAGGGTTCGTTCAAGCTAGTAATTTTGATCGCATTGAATATCGGCCTTGCCAGTAATATGTAAGCTCCGGCATGCCAGTTTGTGCTTTCTTGCGTGATTGCATGTTGTTTAAGCGAAGTGAGCCTTGAGTGCCTGTTCAGTCTTCTGCATTGGCACTCGTTGGCAACCCGATCAGGGGCGCCTCTGCACAAAACAACCGGGGCGGGATCGGGGCCGGTTCGGGTTCGGTTTTGGAGCTCAAGTTTGGCCCCGAACTGTCCAACAATCAATCCCGGATATGTTTTCTCAGGCAACGTTGGGCTCCAGCGGCTTTCTGGAGGGCCCGAAGCGCCGATTGTGGAGGCGACGAAGGGACCCCATACGGTCCAAAGTGAAGCAAGAATGCGACCCGAAAGCACATTTGGACCGGTATGAAATTCGAGCTCGTCTTGGACGCTGTCGGGAAGCCGTCTTGGGGCCCTGAAAGGGTTGATGACGCAGTGGGCGGCGGAATGGCTGAGTTCGTTGTTCTGGGGGTAATAGGGGGAGATCAAGCCTTGAAATGAACTTTCGCGGTGAAATCCGACACGCCCCTCAGCCCAGCGGGCGGGGGGGGTTCAAGGGGTTTAGGCCATTCTGCCGACCTCCAGAACAGGAGTTGTGTGGCTTTCGATTTTTTCCGCTTCCCGTTGTGCTGCCTTCATGCAGTTGTTGCTGATTCGTCCTCCTCTCCCTCCGCGTCTGTTGCGGGGCTCCTTGGGGGCCTTTTGGAGGCATCCAGGGCGGTTTCTGGAGAGCCTTCGAGGGCTCCTGGGTTTGTTTTGGGGCCCTCTGTGGATTCTTTGGAGCCTCTTGGGAGCCTCTTGGGGCACGCTGTGGGTCTTGGGGGCCACCTCGAGAGGGAGGGCTCCCCGGCCCCCTGCGAGTTCCCCCTCTTGGGCCCATCTTGGGCCCCTCTTGAAGCCCCCTGGAAGGTATTATTTATCTTTTTGGGCTCCTCTTGGGCCATCTTGGGGACCTCTTGGGCTATCTCTGGGCCCTCTTGGGGGCCTCTGGGGCTGCCTCAGGCCAGTCTGCGGGGCCTCTCGGGCAGTCTTGGGCTGTCAGGAGCTCGAAAAGGCGAGCACGCGAAAATCCTTCCAAAACTAAATGAGAGATCATGATTTTTGCCTCTTGAGGCCCTCTTGGGGGTCCTCTTGGAGTGGGGAGTCTTGGGGGCCAAAAGGCTTTAAGGTTATCTAGGGTGTTCTTGAGACCTCCCTGGCGTGATGGAGCCCTTTTTGAGCCGTCTTGGAAACCATCTTGGGCATCTTGGAGGCTACGGAGGGTGGACCTGAAGGCTTCGAGGGCCCCAGAGGTGCGTTGACGAGCTCGTCCTCCCCCGCCTCCCCCCCGCCCACGACGAGATTTTGGCCTTTGGGTGAGGGGAAAAGGGTGAGTGAAATAGTTAAACGTCTCACAGGCTTTGCACCCCTGACAAGTGGGGTCGGCGGACTAGTGTCGGGTCTCACTGTCGAAGCGTTGCTTGGTGCGTTGTGTTGTGGATATCGTACCCTTGTCGTGTTCATCCTAGCTGAGGAGATCGATAAAGACGCCAGCAACAGCATCGACTTGACAGAGCTGATCGGCTACCTCCAGCACGGGCCAGTGCGTCCACAGGACCAGGTCACCCGTTATTATTTTGGCCTCTGCTGTCTTCGTGTCTTTCTTCACATTGTATGCCATACTGTAGTTCAACGGCTACAGCACCCACCCATACTTTGTCGCTAATGTATGCCTCGCCAGCATGGCATCTCAAGGCGATTGTCGAGGTCCCCTCCCTTCATTTTGTTCGAGACGTCGCAAGATACCAAAAGCGAGCCCCACATGGTCAGGATGTATGAGAGTAGAGCTTCAACACCGACAAAGGGGTTCTGGCGAGAATTGTTAGGAGTAAGCGAGGGGGAGGCGCGTCGATGTAGGTGTGTGTGTGTGTGTGTGTGTGTGTGCGTGTGCCCGCGGGACCATTTTTTTTTTTTCTTTTTTTTTTTTTTTCTGGAAGGCCGATTTGCAGGCCTGGTTGTCATCCATGATCCCGTCCTCGCCGCGGCCATTCTCACCTTCTCCTGCTTTCCCTCCTCCTCTTGTAGGAGAAGAAGACGGAGCAGCGGCTGAAGCGGGCTCAGAGGACACGGCTCGGTGGGGGTGGCGCCGTCCTGCACTGAGCGGGCCCCCTGATTCTTCCGAGCTCATCCGCCCACCCTCCAGCGCACTCCAGCATCTCTCCTTCCTCCCGTTTCTCCATCCCCCTTCCTCTCTCTGCTGTCCTCCGTTTCTCGCGATCATCGAGCAGGGCGCGCTTTGCATCGGGGCAAGTCTGGGGCCGCTGGCCACGACAGGGTAGTCTAGGCCCGCTTGCGTCTAGCGTAGGTGTGCCGTGTGCAATGCTGAATCTCGAGGCATGTGACGTCCGTCAACTGGAGAGGATTGGTAGCCAATAGTTTGATCGGTGGCGCCCCGCCAGGATGATATCCTAGGGAGCTTATATGGGGGCGCCGCCACAGGTGCTAGCCTACATGCGATGCAGGAGAAGCAGTTACCAGCGAGTTCGTGGGCGCGAGGTTCACACAGCTGACCGATATCGTTTTTGCTGGTACCGCAGAACCGAAGAACATGTGAGCGGGATGATTGGCAGGCCTGGGAGCGTGTGTGCATAACCTGCTCTGTCTACGGGCGCCGATCGACGCGCCCGAGCCCCTTCCGAACACATGGTTGGCCCACTGGTCAAAGCGCGGAAGGACGGCGATGTGTACACTAGGAATAACGCCCCCCCCCGGGGCCCTTCTGGTCCTCCTCCTCTTCCTCTTCCTCCTCCTCCTACTCAAGGTGCAACGTGAGATCGCCACGGTGCTGCGCCGTGCTAAATTCACGTCGCCTTTTGAAGTCACTCTCCGAAAACGCATTGATGCTTGGGCCTGTTCGGATCAGCTGAGCGCGCCTGCCGAGCTTTTCGCACGTTGGAGTTTGTTGAAGACCGTTCTCGGGGAGGTTCGTCCAAGCTGGCGCTGGGCATTGATCAAAGCTCTCACGGGCGGTTGGAACACCACTGCACGCATGCACGTCCTCGAGCAGAGATGTTGCGTCTTTGGTTGCGCCTGGCAGCCGGATTCTTTTCCACACTACCTCTCCTGCCCCGCTCTGCTTCGTCTTCTTTGGTCTCCTTAGCACCCTCTGCTCCAATCCACACTCACAACCTGGGGGCTCGGCCCTGCTGCCGCTTACGTGCCTGACCCTTCCGACGTACTTTCGCTGCGGTGGACCTTCCAGCGCGTAGTGCTGGTTCCTCAGATCTATAGCAAACACAAGTTGGCTGAGGACTCCTCGCCCAACATGTTGGCAGCGTCGCGCAATGCGGCTCGCGCCATGCTCTTTCGCCACTCCACCGCCCGTCGGGAGACTCGCGCCCTCTGCTACCGCCGCTCCTCCTCCTCCTCCTCCTCCTCCTCCTCCTCCTCCTCCTCCTCCTCCTCCGCCTCCTCCGCCTCCTCCTCCTCCTCCTCCTCCTTCGCGAATGGTCAGCGCCATAATCTCATTCCGCCACCGTGCCCTAGGGGGTCTCCAGGGGGCCTCCCGAGGGCGCCCCACCCCTGGCGCGCCCGGGGGGCCTTCGGGAACTCCTGCGCGCCGGGGGTTTCGTCCTTCAAGGGCCTGCGCTTCCCTTGCCACGGCTGTGCGAGCCTCTGGGCACTCCGGCGGCTGGTTCGGATTCCTAGCAAGGCGCATTCAGTGCCCCGCCTGGGGCCTCGGTGCCCTCCGGCTTTGGAGCGTACGGTAGAGGGAGGCACTTACACCCCACCCGCTCCCCAAAACTCAAAGTTGGCAAGCGCGGGGAAGACTGCGGTCGAAGTGCAGCTCAGTCAACCCACCGCCCGCATTGATCAGTGGGGGGGCATTGACAGATGAATGCGGCACGAGTGTTATCTTTTTTCTTCCGAGGCCTGTACCTGATGGTCTTTGGTCCATCCCGCAGCCGTGCCTGGGCGGTGGGCCAGCTGCCTCGTGGCTGCCTGCTGGGGTCTTTCTTCGGAGGGCTCCCGGGGAGGCAGCCCCTCAGGGCAGCTTCGAGGCCTCGTGGGAGCCTCCTGGGAGCCTCTCGAGGCTCTTCCTCCTCCTCCCCCTCTTCCTCCCCCTCTCTCTCCCCCTTCCCCTCCCCCTCCCCCCCCCTTCTCCCTCCCCCCTCCTTCCCCCCTCCCCCACCCCCTCCACAATTACTCAATATGAATACTACTCTCCCTCTTCCCCTGATGACGTGCTGGGAGTGTTCGCCCCCCCCCGCGTCCTGCTTTTTTACACAGGATTCCTGGGAGTTGGGTTATCGCCTGCATTTTTTTTCAAAATGCTGCTCTCGCTGAGGCGCGGGCCTCATTTTCGGGCCCCGCTCGTTCCGAATCGTGCTCCCGCTGCAGCGCTGGCCTCATTTCCGTGCTTCCGCTCGTTCCGAATCGTGCTCCCGCTGCAGCGCTGGCCTCATTTCCGCGCTTCCGCTCGTTTCGACTCGTGCTCCCGCTGCAGCGCTGGCGTCATTTCCCGTGCCATGCCACGGCATGCAATGCAATGCTAGGTTGATACTACGCTTTGCGGTGCTCTTCTACGCCATGCCATGCCGTGCTCTACAATGCATCGCGTACCCTTTCGGGATCATTGCCCTGCTCGACATCCGACTGTGCGAGTAGAGAGGGGATCTGCGCCATGGTAAGGGATGGGAGGGAGGGGTAGGATGTCAGATATGACGCGAGCGCACCTAGCTTGCCCCTCCCCCTCCCCCTCCCCCTCCCCTCTCTTGCTGGGGGCCTCTCCTTGGGGCCTCTTGGGGGATCCTTGGGGGCCTTTTGGGGCCTCCCGTGGGCCTCTTGGGAAATGTCGGTCCGTGATCCCTCTCTGGGCCCCCTCTCGTGGCGTTCTTGGGGCCCTCTTGGGTCGTCTTGGACGCCTCTTGCGCCGTCTTGGGGGCCTCTTGTGCCGTCTCGGGGCCTTCTTGGCGGCCTCTCAGGCCGACTTGGGGGCCTCTTGGGCCATCTTGGAGCGTTCGGAAGCCGAAAAGGCAGACATGCGGAAATCTTGCAATAACCTAAGGGAACTCAGTGCACTTTGCCTCTTGGGGCCCTCTTGGGGGAGGCGTCTTGTGCTGTCTGGAGGCCGTCTTGGGCGTCTTGGAGTGATGTTTCGGCGAGTCGGGGTTCTCCTGGACTGTCCGGGCGGCCTCCGGGGGCCTTCTTGGCTCGCTTTGGGGGCTCTCCCGGGAGAGGGGACCGTCCGGGAGGCCCACGCGGGTCACCCCAGTGACGCCCAGCAGCGCCCAGGAATTCTGGGAATGTCGTGCCTCCTCCTCCTCCTCCTCCTCCTCCTCCTCCTCCTCTTCCTCCTCCGCCTCCGCCTCCGTCCGGGCCCGTCAGAACCTTACAACCCCTTCATCCATCGAGTCAGGGGGGTGACTACACCAGTGATTCACCTCAGCTTTTTTCCCATCGCTCCCACGAAGCATGCGCAGAAGTCTTGTGTATCGTCGAGCACTGCAGCATTTTCCCTCGTGGATCCGACGAGCAAAATCAATTCTGTGGCACCAGCCAATTCTGTAGTCGATTCCCTACTCGAATCCGCCCCTCAGAGCTGCATGAGCCTTGGGGCGCTCCACTTCGTGCTGAAGGCACGGTGGCGGATTTACTCTAGCGACCAGTGTGGACCTTGCAAGCTTGGGTCCCCCAAATGCGAGGCCGTTTTCACTGAAGGGAGGTTTACGAATCCTGAGTTCTCCTGCTTTGGGTCCCCTTTCCCATCCTTGTCCCCGCCCCCTTCTCCCATTTCCCCAGGAATCTCAGGGTGGCCTTTGCTAACATCAGCTCCAACGAGGGCGACATTCGCAAGCTCTTCGACGTTCTCGACCGCGACGGCTCGAGCACGCTGTCCTTGTGAGGGGACGGGGAGTGTTCGAGGAGGAGTAATGGACGAGACCAGAGTAAGAAAGAGAGGCGAGTGAGCGAGAGAAGGAGAGACAAAAACAAGAAGAGTGACGGACGGAACGGGGAATGAAGGGAATGCAAGAGAGGATACACGATGAGCCGAGTCGATACGACAAGTGGGCAAACATTAATGGGGACAGGACTGTAATAGAATTATCAGTATGCTGCCGGTCGAGGACGTACGCCCCTCTATGAAGTATCATCATGTACTATATCAGAGCATGTAGTCGATCAGCAAATCATCGGACTGGTTTATGAAGAGACGACTCGCTTACAGCTTCTGCATGGAGGAATCATCGAACGACCCCTGTCCACTCTGCGTTCGGTAATAAGCGTTCGGGGGGCGCCACCCTCGCCCACAACCCCAAACATCGACCACCGTCGCTGGGAAACACAACCGCGCGACGGTGACCCCAGTCGAACCACGCCACCCGCCGAAAAACACCAGGCTCCCGGCCCACGGGGCGCGGACAGGTTGACGTTATCCCCGTGGGGAGGGGTGGGGGCGCCCCCACGCCCATGACCGAACGCAAAGAATCGTTGAGGCATTTGCACACGCTTTTTACGTCGGCGGCAGGGCAGAGCTGGCTGCACCAGCGGTGTAGCCAGACGGAGGCACCGAAGAGCGAATAAGCCAGCGTGGACGAGGACAGAGACGGCGGCCGCGGACGGGGGGGGAGAAGAAAAGGCCACTCAGAGGTGGGAGAGTTCTCACAAAAGGCATTTGCACACGCAGGATCTGTGTGGAACCTGGCTTAACATAGTCACGAACGGACTGGCGTAGGACCCAAACTGTGACCCTGTGCAAACGATGGGGTGCAATCCGCAGTGTATCTACCTGGTGCATACCTACGTGCTGGAATCTATGAGGTGTGTATCCATGGGGTGCAATCTATGGGGTGCATGCCGCTGGGACGCAATTGTTCGAGCGCGCTCTGATGCGCCACAAGCGGGTCGCAAGCGGTGGCGGGGCGAGTCGCGCGGCGGGTCGCGCGGTGGATCACAGACGGGCCGCGGGGCGGGGCGAGGGGCGACGACGGCGACGACGATGACGATCACAAGCATAAGAACAAGAACAGTAACCCGCACCACAGGAGCCCATGTCAGCCGAGCACCCTGGAACAGTGAAATACCGTGCGGCCCCCTCACAATGTTACGATGTCGACACACTGTGTTCGTACTGTTCGACTCTACGCCGACGCTGCATGTTGGTAGTCGGGTTTGCGACGATTGCGCTAGCTGCGAACACCTCGGCCACATAATCGACCAACTAAGCTTCAGAGTTTGCGTAACTTTTGCCAGGAACCCATCCTGTATAAGGGTTACTCATATTCCCCTCCAGCGTGGCATCTAGCAGCAAACCTCCCGAACAGACTGGCGCAATGTCCAGGCGACGTGCCCTGTCCTTTGGTAGCATCGTCCGCATGTCGGCGCAATTCTTCACCTGCTTGTCTGCACCAGGTGGCGGGCAGGAGGGGATTAGAGGAGACAGAATGTGCGGGCTGCGGTGGAATTGGCAAGAGGGTATGGCCCCTCCCCCACTGGGGCGGTGGTCGAGCTGGAGGAGGCGGGAGGAGAAGGAGAATGAGGGATTGTTTTCGCTGACTGGCAGATGACAGTCGTGACTCAGGCCAGACCCCCCCTCGGGTAATGGTAACGATCGTACGTAGGGGGGATCTCGACCCCCCTGCATGTTGGTGCTCGCGCACACATCATGGCGATCGCAGCGCATCCCCGCCCCGACCCGCCCCACCCGCCCGAGCATTACGGTTACCCGGGGCCCCTTTTGCCCCTCCCCCCCGCACACAGACCGCTACCCAGAAGTGGTAAACACAATTTCGGGAAAGACAGAGGGCGAGGGAGGAGGACGGATAATGACGAGCATGACGGAGAGAGATTTGACTGCGGCTCTCACAGGACCCGGAAAGGAGGAGGGCGCGAAGCAGACGGAAGCCCAAGGACAGGCTTTTGTGAGCAGAGGCTGTCGACCAGCCTCGGGACGCTGGGACGATGTGGCGGCATATTGTCCTGCAGGTACGAGTTTCACAGCTTCGTGCGGGACGAGCTCGGCATGTCGCGGTGGGACGTCAGCACCAACGACCTTAACGATTTTTTCAAGGCTTTGGATCCGAATGGTACGCGAGTGGAGAGAGCATGCCTGCTGGATGTATGTGCTTGTGTCGGAGTGATGTGCTTGAGATCCTTCTTGGTTCAAGAGGCCTACGCAAGGCCACCGACCCCCAGAAGAGGAGGGACGTCCCGTTGGTTCGCTAGGCTCAGTGACCACTGGCGAGTGGGAATGGGAGGACAGGATGATGAGGAGGAGGAGGGCGAAGAGGAGGATGACGAGGAGGAGGAGGAGGACGACAAGAAAGAGCTGGGCTATGATGACGACGACGAGGCCGTTGGAAGTCTCTTGGGCTGCCTTGCGGGGCTTCTTGGGTTCTCTCGGAGGCCTCGGCGGGGGTATCTTGGGATTTGTTCCCAATCATCCTGTGGTGTTGGGCCCTCGTTTAGAAGAGACGGTTCCCGCGTTCCTCTCCTCTGCTCTCCTCCTCCTCCTCCCTCTCATTCCTCCTCTCGTCCCCCCCTCACTTTGGCACATCCCTCACACGTTTCGTGGCCCCATAGGGAGCTCCACCTAACATTCCCAGTGGCGCAGTCCGCATGGCGGCGCCGCCCCCCCCCATTTTGGCACACCCCTCACAGGTTTCGTGGTCCCATAGGGAGCTTCACCTAACGTTCCAGTGGCGTAGTCCGCATGGCGGCGCCGCCCCATTTTCGCACACCCCTCACACGTTTCGTGGCTCCATCAGGAGCTCCACCACAGGTCCCAGTGGCGCAGTTCGCATGGCGGCGACGCCCCATTTTGGCACACCCCTCACATGTTTCGTGGCCCCATAGGGAGCTCCACCTAACGTCCCAGTGGCGCAGTCCGCATGGCGGCGCCGCCCTATTTTGACACACCCCTCACACGTTTCGTGGCCCCACAGGGAGCTCCGCCTTGCTCCATTCCGGCACACTTTTCACGCGCTTCGTGGCCCCAGAAGGAGATCCACCGAAGGCGATACTAACAACGACTGTATTCACAATTGCGTATGACTGGGTCCGTCGCCAGGCTATTTTTTGAGGGTCCTGAGTGCCTGGTCCAGGCCCCGTTGGGGCTTCTTGGGGGCGGGGCTTATCGGTGGGCCTTATTGGGGCTTCTTGGGGGCTTCATCTTGGGGGCATCCTAAGGGCATGTTGGGGGTCTTGGAGGGGGCTCCTGGGAGTTCCCCCTCTTGGACCCGTCTTGGGGCCGTCTTGGGAGCCCTCTGGGCCGTCTTGGTGGGGTGCCTCGTGGGCGGTCTTAAGCTCCTCTTGGGCCGTCTCTAAGTCTCTGTGGGGGCTGTAGCGGTGGGCCTGGCGATGATGCGGGGGAGGTTGCCATTCTGGGGCTTCCCACTGCAAACGCACTGCATGGGTGCAGCTTCCACCGGGAAGCAATGAGGAGGCGTGGTGTTCGATGTCAGTGCCCTGTGGCATGTGTTTGGATGGGGGCCCTGCTCGTTACTTCGCAGTGGCAGGCCATCATAATCAGGAAACCGTGACTCGACCCACGCTAGCCGGGGCAGGCCAAGGTGGCAGATGTTGTCAGTTCGGTTTCCGTCCCCTCGACCCCTGTTGGGGGCATTCGCGGTCGTGCCGAGGGCGGAGCTGGCGTTCGGAAGGGCCCCCCATTCCACATACCGACAGTGTTGCAATGAATCTGTGCACTGATCAAGAAATTCGTTTCTGTGAGAGTACCTTTTCTTTTAGATTGCCAGGGTTTAGAGTATTCTCCCGCACGCGTAGTGGAGCGTTTCTGACATCTTGCCTCAACTGGCATTTCGGTCTTGGGATGGATGTCAGACGCTGAAGTTTAGGCTCACTGCCGCGACATTCCAGACCAGACGGACTCATGTGAGAGAGGGAGGTGATGGTATCGACATTAACGAGTTGTTGACCTACGTCAGAAAGGCTGGCAAAGACAGGTCTGAGAGGGGGGGGCACGATGATGATGATGATGATGATGATGATGATGATGATGATGATGATGATGATGATGATGATGATGATGATGATGATGATGATGATGATGATGATGATGATGATGATGATGATGATGATGATGATGATGATGATGATGATGATGATGATGATGATGATGATGATGATGATGATGATGATGATGATGATGATGATGATGATGATGATGATGATGATGATGATGATGATGATGATGATGATGATGATGATGATGATGATGATGATGATGATGATGATGATGATGATGATGATGATGATGATGATGATGATGATGATGATGATGATGATGATGATGATGATGATGATGATGATGATGATGATGATGATGATGATGATGATGATGATGATGATGATGATGATGATGATGATGATGATGATGATGATGATGATGATGATGATGATGATGATGATGATGATGATGATGATGATGATGATGATGATGATGATGATGATGATGATGATGATGATGATGATGATGATGATGATGATGATATGATGATGATGATGATGATGATGATGATGATGATGATGAGATGATGATGATGATGATGATGATGATGATGATGATGATGATGATGATGATGATGATGATGATGATGATGATGATGATGAGGATGAGGAGGAGGAAGGAGGAGGAGAGGAGAGGAGGAGGAGGAGGAGGAGGAGGAGGAGGAGGAGGAGGAGGAGGATGAGGAGGAGGAGTCTGAGGAGGAGGAGGAGGAGGAGGAGGAGGAGGAGGAGGAGGAGGAGGAGGAGGAGGAGGAGGAGGCAGCGTTCTGGGGCAGCGGATGGGTGACGCCAGCTATCATACGGGGGCAGTCCTGGCGCGGAGCGCACCGAACGAGGACGAGCAGCGCGACGTGGAGGATCAGAGTAGGAAAACGTACTGATACCGCTACTCTGGGTCTCTGGGCTTCTCGATAAGCGTGGGGGGGTACCCCCCCGATGGGGGTCAACCTCGCCTCGTCGTCGCCCCGCGACGGGGGTCGGAGCGCCTTTGGCGGGCGGTGGCTGCCCGCGACGGGGGTCGATGTGGGGCTGTCGGCGCGGGTGACGCCCCCCCGACGCTTCTTATGAAACTCGGAGTAGCCTCCCTTCGTTTTCGCCTTTCTGGGCCTCCTGGAGGGCCCTCGTCGCCACGGCCGGATTCGCCTCGGGATGCTGGGCAGCCCATGAGAGGTCGGAGGAGCAGTGGCATCGGTACTTTGTTGGGTTTCCCCGGAAGAGCAGCAGCACGAGCAGACGGAGGAGTCGGTGAAGGGTGACTGGCTCTCAGCCTACTCAGAATCGGATTGTAAGACCAGCTCTGCTGTTATGTCCTGATCGGGACACCAGGAGAGCCGGGGGTGTCCCGAGGCTCCCCCATCGGCCCTGCTCTCGTCTCTCTGGCTCCAGCGCCCATCCCCCGCGACTCCAGCACCCTTCTCTCTCTCCGACTCCAGCTCCCGACCTTCAGCATTCGGGTGCCAGTGTTCATCTCTTCGCCTCCGATGTCCATTTTACGGCTTTTGCTCACACCTTTCCACATCTGGCTCTCATCTTTACGACTCCGCCCCCAGTGAGTGACGAGCCGGCCTCTTGCGCCGATCTTTTCTGTTCTTCGTCTTTGTCTTTCTCTTCCCCGTGTTGTGACGACTTTACTGTTTGACTTTGATTGTTATGGTCCGTTGTTGTTTGCGCGCATTTCAGCCCCTCCCTGCGGCACCCACGCGGTGCACGCAGGCCGTGCTCCGTGTTCCGCGTGTTCTGTGCAAAGGACCGCACTGCCGCTCCGTCTTCTCCTCCTCGCCCTCCTGCATGCTGGACACTTCGCCCCACGCTGGTGCGGATCACCTCTGCCTCGCCGCCGCCAAAAAAAATGTCCTGTGCCAAGGTGGTGACGGAGGCGGCCAACGATTTTGCCTGACGATCGAACGGTGGATGCTCGTGCTCCCGAGCGTAAGAAAGTTATCCTGCCTAGAACTGTTTCGGCCCCGCTTGGGTATTTTAGCCTGCCGCTTGCGCCATCTGTTCTTGCAGTGTGTAGTACTCTATCCGAGCATTGTGGCGAGCGATACCGTCCAATATAGCAGCAAACTTGCGCCAATTTCAGCAGATCTGGTCACAGGCAGTGAGCGGATTTGTACCCTGCCGCGGCGAGGCCAGGGAATTGTGGAGTACCTCAGTGTTCCAGAGGGCTTTCTACGAGCTGGCACCCTTCTGTTCATCATTTTCATCATCTTGCCGCTTCCTCTCTCTCTATATATATAGATGTCTATATATATGTATGAATATATGAACTCCTCCTTTCAGCTGTGCCGTTATTCTGCCATCCTCTTCAAAGAACAATGCCGATGCGATACCAATCCGCTGCCAACCAACGCCGATGCAATGCCAATTGGGGATTCTTCTCTTTCGGTGATTTCAATAAAAAGCCTTCTGTGGATGATGCCATGACGAGTCCTTCCTCGGAGGTTTCGATATGTATGCGTTTGCAGAGGGTTTCGACAGGAATCCTCCTTTGGAGGATTTCATTCGGAATCCTTCTTGTGGGGGTTTGAATAGGAACCGTTCTTGTGGAGGATTCCAGTAGGAGTCCTTCAGCGGAGGGAACCATGCTAATTCGCTAGCGCAATGCCAGCGCAATGCTACAGCAGTGCCAACGCAATGCCAAACCAATGCCAAGGCGACCCCAATCCAATGCCAATGCTATGCCGAAGAGGGGTCATCCTTTGCGGTAGATTTCAATAACAATCCTTTCGGGGGTTGCAACACGAATCCTTGTGCGAAGGGAGGCATTGGAACTCGCCGCGCAATGACAGCGCAATTCCAAAACAGTGCCATCGCAATGCCAGCGCAATGTTCACGCAATGCCAATGCGATCTCAAATCCGATGCCAATGCAATGCTGTTGGGGCCAAGTTTTTGTGGTACATTCAAAAAGGAATCCTTTTTGCGGAGGGTGTCAATTGGAATCATTCTGCGAAGGAAGCATTCGGATTCACCAGCGCGATTCTAAACAGTGCCAACGCAATGCCAAACCAATGCCAACGCGACCCCAATCCAATGCCAATGCTATGCTAATGGGGGCCATCCTTTGTGGTAGATTCCAATGAGAATCCTCGTGGGGGTTGCAATAGGAATTTTTCTGCGAAGGGAGGCGTTGGAACTCGCCAGCGCAATGCCAGCGCAATGCCAAAGCAGTGCCAACGTAATGCCAGCGCAATTCCAATTCGATCCCAAAGGGACCATTTTTTGTTTGCGGAGGGTTTCAATAGTAATCCTTCTGCGAAGGGAAGCATTAGGACACGCCAGCGCAATGCAAAAGCAGTGCCACCGCAATACCAAACCAATGCCAAAGCGACCCCAATCCTATGCCAATGGGGGCCATCGTTTGTGGTAGATATCAATAGGATTTTTTGTGGGGGGTTGCAATAGAAATTCGTCTGCGAAGGGAGGCGTTATGACTTGCCAGCGCAATGTCAGCACAATGCTCAAACAGTTCAAACGCAATGCCGTATCAATGCCAAGGCGACCCGGATCCGATGCTAAGGCAATGTCGTTGGGGGCAGTCTTTTGTTGTGGATTTCAATGGGAATCTTTCTTCTGGGTGTTGCACTCGGAGTCTTTCTGCGAAGGGAGGCGTTAGGAGTCGACAGCGCAATGCCAGCGCACTTCCGACGCAATGCCAACACACTGTTAAACCAGTGTCAATTGGGGGCATCTTCTCTTGGTGCATTGCAATGGGAATCCTTCTGGGATGATGTCATTGCGAACCCATGTTCGGAAGATTCAATAGGAATCCTTGTGTCAAGGGCTTCGAACGCAACCCTTCTGTGGAGGATTTCAATTTGAATCTTTCTTGTGTGTGCGTGGGGGGTTGTGTGTGTGTGGGGGTCGCTCGCCAACGCAATGCGAAACCAATGCCATGGCGATCCCAATCCAATGCTAATGGGGGCAATCCTTTGTGGTAGATTTCAATGGGGATCCTTTTTTTGTGGAGAGTTTTGATCGAAATTCTTTTTGCGAAGGCAGTAGTCACGACTCGCCCGCGCAATGCCAGAGCAATGCCGAAACAGCGCCAACGCAATGCCAGTGCAATGCCAAGGCGATCCCAACACAATGCCAATGCAATGCCAATTCTAGACGCTTCGCGTAACCTCACCAGGCTGATGACGCAGACAGACCAGCACACGCCTATCCGACGGCGGCCCAAGGACCCCCCCTTTATGGACCCAGCCCCCTCACAGGGCTGAATCCGCAGCCTGGTCCCCATTTGCGCGGGCGTCAGATCGAGGGGCACCGCGCGACGCATGGAAGAGGGGCGAAGCCCCCCCCAGTGAGGAACGAACCTGGAACGATCGCATCGGTGACGGCCGTTCACTCAGACAATCGGGGAGCGTAGCAGGCCGCCGACCACCCACAATCGCTGAAGACCGCTGCAGAGAACACTCTGCCACCCCACCCCACAGCTCACCCAGGCGGCGCCGCAGCTCACAGAGGTGGCGGCGCGACGCACGGACAGCAGCAATCCCACCTGCGCGCCGAGACGACCCCATGGGTGGCCTCCCCATGTACCTGAGACCCATCGGCGACGTAGACGTCACAAGGGACGAGCCTGCACCAGAAAAGATCACGCGAATGCAGAAAATGCTGGGGGGGTGCTTTCAATGGGGTGTGGAGCGCCTGGGCCAGCAAGGCGGCCCGCAAGCCAGGGTGCTCCTGGGCCAACATCAAGTCTGACCCCTGGCGAAACACGCCGCGGCAGTGCGACGACTTCCTCCTGGCATGGAGCAAAGTGGGATACGACGCTTACAGAATGGACAGTGAGTACCAGCTCCACGTCGACTGGCCGAACGTCATGGCGAAGCAGCGCAAACACACGCAGCGCGACAATAGAGCACGCGCGGTGGAACCCCCCATCGGAAGCGGAGGCAAACACCTGTGGTCCAATGAGGGCCAAGAGG